ATTTACTAATCAGTGTGCATGGGGTTCTACTTTTCTGACTTGGGGTGTGGTTTTGTGCTTGTCCATTAGCTGTGAAACGGCAGAGATTACAAGCTAATGGGAATTGGCTACTCAAAATTGAGTGTTCCTTCCGTCTTATTGCACTCAATCTAAATTCTAAACTGCCTCCATTTCCCTCAGTATGCTATTATCCAAAGTGAGACACCTTCCCCCATTATATTTATCACGCGAAATCATATTAACTATTTATGATTAGAAACATGACACCCAATGACACAGATAATCTTGGACAAAACTACTACGTAATTAACCAAATACATATGTAGCGAATTAAGAGAAGCCGAGCCGCCGAGTCTTCTTAACTTGAGTCTATCATGGCATCACACTTATTGATACTATTGTTCACTCATTAATTGATATTTAATACTCCCGTTATAAATGTACCAACTAAATGAGAAGTTTATTTTGGTCTAAACTATAAGACCTTGATCCATTTTATCTTTTAAATTAATATTTTTTCTAAACTATCCCTAATAATTGCACTTATTGAAGATGAGTTTTCATCATTAGAAATAGTTTCCAGTATAAATTATTAAATGCAGTATTTTTAAAAAAACCAATACTCCTTTTTACAAGTGACTAATAAGTTAACCAACTTTTTAAATATCTACAAGTTAATTATATATCCCCTATTAGAGGTGTTCAATTTGTACTCATTTTCATTGGCCTGATTTTGTCTCGTTCATATCGAGACAAGTCTCATCGTAGCCAAAAAGTAATCAAAACTGGATTTTGCCGGGTGAGACACAAGATTACCCTTAAGACGTTCCATCCCGTTTCAAATACTATATATATAATTTTTTATTTTAAAAAATATACATTAAATATATTAATTATATTAATATGATTTATACTTATATTAATTATAATTTTAATACGTACAATTCTAACTTAAAACTAAAATTTTTTTATATTAATTTTAATGTCACAAAGTAAGCAGTATATGGTAATATCTTTCTTTATAATATATTAATTATATTAATATTAAAACATTTTATTATTATATCTATCTATTTAATAGCTTTTGTTTATATCATATTTCTTACTTTATTTTTAAAAGATTAATTAGTTTAGCATGTCTCAACTAAAGAAGAAGGGCAATGACTTGATGTTATACATGACTTGTTTGTTATTGCTCTTATAGCCTAAAAATCATTTGTATTAATTGTTATCATAATGTTATACACGTATAGTTGTGATTAATGTAATTCAATAATTAACTTTAAATTATTGCAATTTATATGCTCCTGTTGTTTTTATTTTAAACTTAGTAAATTATATGATTTAAACTTTTAATAAATGTTATTATTCAGACCTTTCTCTTATATTGTTCAATTCATCGGGACGATAAGACATTCAAAATTTAGTCTTGATCTTTTTCAGGACGGGACAAAGGATAGGGGTGTCCCGATCCCGTTCGATCATATGAACACCTCTATCCCTTACTGTCCTACATTTAATATTGACAATGGGCATAGGGTTCTTTGCTTGCTTTATGCCACCCATCTGTTTAGGTATCTCTATCCTCTGTCCCACCTAAAATGCACCTTTGTCTTATTTAACTCTAATTGTCTAACATTGGATTATTGTTTTGGATAAGGCTACATAAAAGATTGATCTGACAAGATTTTAGTCTAACCTAAAGTTTGGTCATTTTTATAAAAAAGATTGAGTTAGGAAACTTGTGGTCTGGTCTAGTCCTAATATAACCTAAAGCAGAACAATATTAGACTAGTCTAATAGGACTATAAGACTGGTCCCAGTCTTGTCCAGTATCTTACTTTGTTTTTCTTTCATCTATGAGAAATAGTAATTTATTTTAACATAATAAAATTACTTATAGTCATATAAAATTTATCACAATAACAATTATAAATCCACAACAATAACAAAAAAGTATTTCAATTACAATACAAAGGATTCAAATTAAACAACTTTCAGTATGTTTAAGTCCTTTACACCAAGTTAACAACAAATGTTACCAATACAAAGAGAAGACTGAGGTTGGTCAATACTGGATTTGTGCTTAATATTCATTATTTCAAAAGTATAAAACACAAAAAATTACTAATTATTATTATAAATCAACTTATTATAATAATAACTAATAAATTAATTATAATTATATTAAATAAATTTATAGGACTAGACCGAATCAAATGGTCTTGATGCTCGGTCTCTTGTTCAGTGCAACCTGGAGAAAGAGTCTAATATTTTTAGTATTTTTAGTCTTGAAAAACTAATTTTTATCCAAACTAGCTTAGATTGAATTGTCTCGGATTGAACTAGACTAGATTGGATCGAAAGACTTTTGTAAAACCCTAGTTTTGGACACTAGGCAAATTGAAATGCCATTTTTGCCATTGCACATGTCTAATGATAATCAGTATTGCATTATTATTAAGAGAATGGTTAGCTTTTTAGACAGAGTCATAATAATGACTATCACACATCATTATCAAAATGATAATAATACTCATTCATATCTTTCCCTTGTGAATTTTCATTGCACTCCATTACCATCTATCTATTTCAAAATGATATTAAGATTGCATTGTATCCTATTACATTACGTTATATGTTTTCAAAAGAGTGAGAAATTGAACCAAACGGGTAATAAGAGTAATATCACTTACTTATCTCAAGTGTATGATCAAGTCAGTAATAATCATGTCACTTCTATCTGCATATCTTGGCCAATATAGGGATTTTGGTGAAGGCTTTACCCACCAAATAACCATTTGACATGTAGATTGCAAAATAATAGCATCATTGATTAAAGAACACATTGATACATAAAAGACAAGCGGGAGCGACTGGAAACGAAATTCCGAGAATAGGGAGGGTTTGCATAAGAAGAGTCAACCGTTATTGTCAAGTTATTGACAATTTTGGTTTCGATATTATTAAGAGTTTGGTACTGTGTATCCCTCAACAGATAGGTAGAGGCATGGGGTTTCAGGAAAGTGTTACATAATGGTATTCTTGTTTGTCTTGCTGTGTGCCCCAAGAAACTATATTAGCTTCGCTCACACTCCCTCTCACACGGCTTGTCGGTGACACTAATCCATCATTTACATACAGATTGTAATGATAATTTTTGGACCTTGGAATCTTTCAAGTAGTTGGCATGAATCAAGATATTGTAAACAATCTGATCAAGTTACTGAAACACCCTCTTAAAAGAGAGCAGCCATCTCCTTAAAGAAAGGGTATAGTGGACTATTAGACATCCAATCAACTACTTTGCCATCAAAAACGAAGATTTCGTCAAAATCAGTGTGCTTTGCTTTTGTTTTTCCTTCTCTGGTCTTTATTCATGATTTCAACATGTTTGCATAGACACATGAGAATGGACGTCTCGCCTGTTTTTTTAACATGTTGCAGGGTATCTCTATCTTGCGGGATGAAACTTTTTCCTTGATTATGTTAGTATCAACCGCGGATAATGCTTGCCTCATGTGCATTAGAAGATAACCGATTGGGATTTATTTGGTAAATTGATTTCTTGAACCTCTTTATTCCAAAAGCAAGAAAAAGAAAGACCTTAATTGGGACTGGACTGATAGGAATAGATGGAAAGGGAGCACAGAAGAAAGGGGAGAACCCTGAGTTCAAATAAATTGTTTCTACCTTTCAACAATCAATTAATGAATTAAGCACATGTCGAAATAAAGGAGCTTTCCGGGCAAGTCATTAATAAAGAATTGACGATAAAGCAAGTAGCTCTTTTTTAATAAAATAAATAAATTACATAATTATCTTTTCTCTTACTAAAAAATTCAAAATTTTGCAAATTCACAGTTCCAAAAAATTAAAAAAATATTTAAAAAAATAAAAATTACAGTTTCGATCTTACTATTGTGATGGACATCAACATACTTTTTCCCAAAAAAAAATATCAATACAAATAATTTTATCCTCCACAATACAATGGGGTTCATTTCCCTCCTTCCACCCTCTATTAAAATCCAGATTTAATTTGAATAATCAATATTAAATAGATTTATTAAAACAAAAAATTATAACTTTTTATTAAATCTAATAGGCAATTTTGATAATTTAAATTTAATATTAAATTTTTTATAATTTTAACATCAAATATATACTATTCAGAGTATATATGAATAATTTATTTATAAAAATTAAAAAATATTAAATCTAATTATCAGTCTAAATAGTTTAAATTTAATATTAAAAGTTTGTACAATTGTAATATTAAACATGCACTATTCAAAGTATATTTAAATAGTTAATTCATAAAATTTATAAAATATTTTAATATTAAATTTGGACCACATGTCAAATCAAGACAACCCAAATTAACAATTAAACATATTTATTAAAATTTTGAAACAATCACATCCAAGAATTTAGCAAAAAATTTATTTCAAACAAAGATCAATACAAAATAAATTATTATTAAAATAAAAATATAGTTTTTTTTTTAAATGAATCTTATTATTGGTTCTTATTTGCGAATATAATTCTCCCTCCTTTTTTATATAATTTTTAAGTAAAAATAAAAAATTAATATATTCAATTTGGACAGTCAACTCGTACTGCATCAGAGCTCCTTTTAAAACTCAAGTTGCAGAGTGTTTCTTTTTTTCCATATCACAAAGGGAAGCCCATTGAAATTTCATGTTACTTGTTAATCCTCCCAACATATTTGAGAAAAATTATTGCTATTAAAGTATTTAAATGTGAGGAGACTAAAATTGTTATTGAAAGTCTCAAATCAAATAAAAATAAATTTAATAATTAATATATTATAAAATAAAAAAATTCATGAATTTGAGTCTTAATATTAAAATATATTATTTCACCACTTCTGACATGATCACCAAACAGGACTGACCCTAATTACGGAAATAGAAATCCCGACTTTCTGCCTTTATCCGGGACATCAACTCAGAGTTTATTACTGGCCCCAAAAATAAAAAAGACTCGATAAGTTTATTCGCACTTCAAGATTACAAGAGTTCGCTATCTTCATTGTTCAGAGTTCATTTCCTGGAATTGTAAAACTAAATTAGAATACTTCATGCCCATACACCATATGATCTGTATTTCTAGTAACTTTTTGTAGATTTGCGTGGCCTACTCATATTGTAGGACTAGGGATGACATGAGAAGACATTTGTAAGGTCGCAGTCCCAAGCTGTCCAAACAAGGTAGAGTTTAATAACATTCACATAGCAACAGAATTCTCGGCAAAAGAAGCCATGCCCCCAAGGTTGGGAAACAGCGAATTCATCACTGGCAGGAGCACAGTACTTTATGTTGGGTACTGTGGGAAATATCTACAGGTTTACATGGCGAATACACAACCATATATAGTTTCCTAATTTCTGACCAAGAGACCCCAGATTCTCTCTTTTCTAGGTTCTTTATTCCAAATATGGCAAGCATTGACACCTTCAGCGAGGTAAAAGGAACATCACTTGCCTGGCTTGCACCAGCCAAAAGGCAACGTGCCACATCCACAGAATTTCATATCCAGCAATGGACGGTCCTATTTCTACCTGATACCATAGGAAAAAAAATGAGGATCAGTACGTCACCATGCTAAACAAGGCAAAAGGGAAGCTTTGCATAAAAAGCACGAAAGAAGCTCATATCATATAAAGATTTTACCTTTCAGCCACAGCAAAGCTTAGAATTGATGCAAATCGAACTCTTCTTAATTTGAACTAGAACCCGCCGCAAAGGATGTTTTCGTGTTATTATCTCTCAAGGGACTTTCACCTTCGGCATCTGAAACATGTGGGTCATTTGGTCCAGCAACCAGACCACCTTCTACATGGCCATGAGTAGGATTGCTATCATTTCTATTGTCGTCTCTGGTATCCAGTCGTTCCATCATGCGTGACACAGTTGCAATCCCCGCATTAACCACCTCTTGTCTAACTTCAGACCCAACATCAGACATAGAGCTGTTGCGAGAGAACCATCTCTCCTTCCAACCTCTTGTGCTCCTGGATATCGACTCCTTGTATCTAAAAATAAAGGGTAATAGTAACAAGTAATATCTAAGTTCAAGAAATCAAGGGATAGCTCTTAATTTTTGTATTACACATGCATGCAACATAGAATAGTCAGTTCCATACTACCTCGTTGAAACTGCATTTAGTCTAGACTTCAAAGATTCTGAAAATGATTGGAATTCTGATGGTCCTGCTCTATCCTGACTGCTTGGATAAGACTGACTAGGAGACCTCCTATAAGTAGTTTTGAGATAAAGCAATCAACATTATTATAGCTACATTATTGTGCATTGTGCAATACATATAAAAATAAAATCCATAACCACACTATCCATATTATACGGATAGTACGGCTCATTACTTAGATTCTGTGCAATGCACAGGGCTTACTTCTGATTATGAACTCATCAACATGAAAAATATCCAGAAATAAATGATGAGGAATAATAATTACCTACTGTTGTAAGACGATCCTTGGTTATCAGCAGCAAGAGCAGTAGATCCTGATCCTGAAGCAGAAACATGGTCTGCTTGAACAAGAGGAACAGAAGTTGACTGTGATGATTCTTCCCCGGTGGCAGGAGTTGGAGATACAGTAACAGTGATTGCTGAAGCTGGTTCACCATTTGCCCCATGAGTTGGAGAGGCAGGAGCCATGGGCGGTGAATTAGGATGGGCTGAAAATACCAAAAAATGTGGGCGACCTTGAGCTGATGACCTGCTTCTCTGACTTTCCCTTCTAGCAATATGGCGTGCTCGTCCCATTGCAGCAGCAGCAGCTAAGTGCTGTATAATACGCTCTTCAAGATCCGCATCATTTGCACCAACTGGCAACTGCATGAGATGAGAAATAAAACTTAAATAATTCATAATGAAAAGGGTAAAGTGTTGTTTTCAAGCTAGCAAAAGCAGACTACAAACATGTTGTAACTCAAAGTCCCCCAGAGCTGGATGATGAAATATTGTGGTATTTCTAGGAGGATTCAACCTAATGTTTCTCTCTCTTTCCACTGCTTCAAGTAATTCTTGACTGCAAACACAAAGAAAGGTGTCATAACAATGAAAACAAATATTGGCAAGAATATCAAAATAAAGGGAAGGGTATGGTGAACATAAAGAAAATTGAAAACCTTGTTGGATCTTTGAGACTGATGGGTTGCCAACACATGGGGCACTGAGAGCTTCTCTGACACCTAGAAGAGAAGATAAGCATAAACATAAATTCAGATCATATCTCCTGAATACAACCAAATGCCTCAGGACACAATCGTTCCTACAATGGGATTCTTCCTTGAATATTTTTAAATAAAAGTAAATATTATTGTTAGTTTCACTGGCCAAAATAGTACTTATAAAACAAAAACAGAAAACAACAAAAGAAGCTCATAAACATGAGTGCTGCAGCCAGTAGCTATACTACATACACCCCACCCCTCGCTTGTAAAAGGATTATCAAGATTAAAATAGAAGCCAGGGGACAAGGAGGTGAAGACACCAAAACAAAGGGGCATGTCTTCCTTACACCAGCATTGACTAATCTTCTGCAAAAAGTTTAATGTCTACTAATCCAAGAAAAGTCATCTGCAAGAGGGAGAAAGCATCTGTCCTGAGCAATGGCAGCAAAATCCCACTCTTCACAGTACTTGTGTGATTGAAAGAAGCAATTGGCTCTAAACTATCATATTCAAAAGCCACTGAATCAAAGATTCATGGATTTAACCATTTCTGATTCCTTTTAAAGTGTGGCGGCTTCAGCCAAAAACGAAGAACAAAAATCCATACACACTGCCATCGCTCATGTGATCAGAAATGACACTATACAGGTTACATTTGAAAGTGCCAGGGAGAGGTGTTCAATGCTTGATGATGGTAGAAGTTTGACCCGCTTCATGAATTGGCACATGGGAGTGCATGACTTGCACATTACAAAATTCCAAGTTGGAGGCTTTAAACAATTAGAATATAAGTAGGAAAAATTAGTTCATAGCAAATATAAACCATCAAATACAGCCTGAGAAATGAACCAATAATAGTCCTCCATTTTGAGGATCGCAAGAAAACTTGGACAGCCATGTTATTTGGGATAAATACAAAAAAAGGGGGGGATCCAACCATACCTACTGGATTTGAAGATATTTTTCAACAGAAATGTAATTGATAATATTCTAGTATTCCCCAAATACTTTGGAAACAGTAACTGCAAATTTAGGAAATGCGTACATTAAACTATAAACTACAGGATGTAAATTTGATTTATAGAAGGTCCTAGTCAATTATTGATTATAGAAGGATGTAAATTTGATCTATAAGAACTTAGAAAGTTTTTTCAGCATGGTACCTCACATTAAAGGAACTGAGTTACGAGCCCAGGAAGTTAATTGGTACGCACAAATGCCTCATGAAACAAAGGGTGATAGCCCTGTAACTTGTTAGCACTAGATGCTCAAAAAGTGTTTTTAATGTTTTTACTAGCAAATGACCTACTGTTTTAATGTTCTAACTAGCAATGTTTTAAAGTTTTTGAAAATTAGCCTCATTCACTTTTCAGGGGATCCTCATAGAAACCCTCTTTTCCTCCAGGCTGGTCAGCAACTGGATCAAACAAAATTTTACAGTGCAGAGAAGAAAGAAAAATTCCATACAAAATTGTAACTTAAGGAGATCACGTTGGTCTCCAAGTCATATTGCAGCAGCTATGAAGGCTACACTCTACTGCAATAATCGAGAATGAGATTTCCATCAATACCAATACTGTGATTACTGTCCAATCCTATACTATCACTAATGATTAATAATAGCAAAAACTAGCTCAAAGCCTTAAATAAAGCTACATAGCACTACCATTCTAGAATGCATTGAAGATGAAACTCATGTTTGCAACTTGTCACCTGCAGGAAGAGCCAGAGCAGCTTGTTCAAAAGGCTGGAATATACTAATAGCCAATAAATCTAAAGCACAAAACCCTCAATAAGCATACTGTTGAAGGATCACTGTCATGAAATGCTTCAAGACATATACTGCAGGCATCATCACAGGCATCCTGGATTCCACCCTCCACAAAGGCTGCAGCAGAAGTCAAATGCACTTCAGACTTCTTATTCTCTTCCAACCCCGGAACCTGGAATACAGCTCCTTTGAGAGATCGATAGAAGCAGGTTTGATATCCAGGCAAGTTGTAATAAATCAAGACACGCCGTGGAATGGATTAATTAAATAAGAATTATGAAATAAGCAACAGATTGTTCTATGACACATACAATCCAAACCCAAACAAAATAACATAAAATCAAATCATCCCTTTAAGGGAACCCGATTTAGTCCGGAACGAACACTCAATCATCCAACTACCAGAAGTAACAAAATCAACCATATTATAAAGCCTGAATTGAACATAGTGAAGTACAAATAATTGTTTTCACTAACAAGAAGAATTAAATTCACGAATAGAGAGCATCTCCAGTCAGTGAAATAAAATAGTCAAAACCGTGAAGGAGATTGAAAAAGTAAAAGAAATTGATCAGCGGCACATAAATCCTCAGCAACGTCAATTAGTAAGACATGATGGACGGGTGACAACCATAAACCAAACATACAAAGGTCTAATAGTGGTGTAAGCCATCCCAGCAGAAAAATCCTTCAGTTTGCTGAAGGTTTTTCCCAGCAACCAAACGAACGAACCATGGCAAACGGGAAAGGGGGCGGGACAGTCGAAATTTTTACCTCCATGGAGGATTGCGCAACCTTAATCTATTCGGAAACCAAAACGATCGGGCGAAAGCGGGGAAAGAATCAAGCTCAGATGAAAGAAACCCTAGCAAGTATGATAAAATTGGAGAGAGACGGCCGTCCTTTATCTCTGGTGTTGTCCTTCCTCCTTTTTCATTTTCATTTTAAGACTTAATATGAAGTCATGAGTTTTAAGCCAAATTAAATCTGTTTTTATTTTATTATTTTAATAATTAATATCTCATATAATATGTTTTGAGAAAAAAATAATAAAAATAATTTTTTATTTTTTTATTTTTTATGATAATATTATCAAAATATTTAAAAAAATATTTTTATTTTTAAAAATGATATTTTAATTTTTTATTCTGCAAAATACTTTTAAAAGTATGTTGTCAAATAATTTGTTTTATTTTTTATTTTAAATAATAGAAAATTATTTCTAAACCAGGCTGCAAACATGTCCTCATTCTTTTGGCACTTGAACCCTCGTCCACGGAGCTACCGAACCTTAGCTAGGTCATCTACCCACTACTGTACTGACACGTGACATTATCTGGGTCACATCCTTTGACGAGTCATCCCAAAGAATCCGTAAATCACACACCATGCCGATGACAATAATGAACGTGAAGATGAGCTCATCGTGGTCATCTTCATCAATTTCTACCATTTAGATTGACTTTGAAGTTTGAGCGAAGTTTGATTTAAAAAAAAATTAATAACAGTATTATGTTTTATAAAACTACTTAAAATATACAAGTTATATGTACAGAGATGAGAGAACAGACGTACTCGGCTCTTTAATTCTTAGGCTTTAAATTTCAGTTTTTTAAATTTTGACCAAATCTCAAAGCTCAACTTTCATTGAAAGGCATCAAAACCAAGCCCAAAAGCCTGATTTAAAAAAAAAAAACTAATATCATAATTTAATATTGTTCTTGTAGAAAATAGATTAATTCAACATTATAATTTAACTCCAAAATTTAATATAAATTAAATCAAAATCTAACATTATCTAAAAATACATGTTAGTTGATGCTGTCATAATTTACAATAAAGTTTTAGAAATAAATTAAAGGAGGCATATTGATATAATCTTTATGAAATAAGATGAGGGATTACAATTTTTAAATCGAACTAAAATATTAAAAGCGAGCATCAAATTAAAATCTCGAACAATCATGACCTAATAAAAAATTCATATCAAAGAGGAATTACTTGAGAGTAAGAGAATAAAAAAGATAAAGCAATGGAACACCAAGGAGACACTGAGTTAAGACATGTGAGGGAGAGGCAAGTTGAGAGGTTGAGATAGCTAGAGAGCGAGTAATGATCGAATCTTATTGTTCTTTCTCATTTGCCAAATGATGTATTTCAAGGTAGAGAGGAAAAAAAATAGAATAAGGCTTGGAAGGCCGCTCAAGTCTAAGTCTTTTTTTATGGTTTATCAAGGTCAGTCCTAGAAGCTCAGTTGTTCTAAAAATCTACTATTTTTTAAACCCAAACCTTTATTTAAATAATGTTTTTAAACTCAACCCTTCAAACTCAGCTCTTATTTTTAACTTTATATGTATGTGTATATTTAAATTTAAATTTAAACAGGTATAAATAAAAATCTTAATTACATATGAGATTTACACAAAGTGTAAATACCTAACATATAATTAAAATTTTTAAATTCACAATTATCTAAATTGATATTTTTAAATACATATGATATTTGTTTGAAAAAATTTCTATAATTAACTACCCTTACTAAAATATGTAAAGCTTTTTAATATAATATCATTCTAATAAATTAGTTAACTGTCTTTCAACTAACATTATTTTTTATATTTGCTCTTATTTATTAGAATGTTTCACTTAAAATAAATACTCTATAAAATAATTATTTATCAAAGGTATTTTTTTTAAGAAAATACCACTATTTTCAGACCCGGATCGACCTGGACAGTCAAACCAATCAAATCAGTTTCCTTGATAAGAAAATGATCTGATTCAATCATTTTGGCTTGTTCTAATAGTTGACCCGAGTTGGCTCATTTTGCCTCGAATAGTTCTTGAAAACTTGAATCAAAAACCTGAGCAGTTGAACCACTTTGACCCCTTTTTTAATATATATGTACTCCATCCGTTTAAAAATATAAAACATTTTTAATCAAATTTCACTCCAATAAAGTAGTTACTTACTTTTCAATTAACTCTATCTTTCATATTTATCTCTATAAAACACCCTATAATAAAATATAAAATCATTATCAATAGGGGCACTTTTGACAAGAAAGACAATGATTACACATCAAAAGATTAAAAATGCCTTATATTTTTTAACATCTAACTCCTCAAAAAATGCCTTACATTTTTTAACAAAGAGAGTATTTAAATATTATTTTTTATTTAATTATTATGTTATCAGTTAAATTATGAGACTTATGATCCTCTGATATTTTTGGTTGATTGTCTTTAAAAACATTGAAAAATACCTTATATTTTTTTAATACAATCAATTATTTTTTCGGCAGTTTGATGAGCCGATTCATCAGCTCCAACATATTTTTTTACCCTACCCCATGCGCACAAGAAAAGTCAAGCCAACTCAAGTTTAATCTTCCATTGTAAAAATAAATCAATCTAGTCCAAAAAACCTAGAATTTACATACAATTATCGAGAAAAATAAAAAGGTAGATTGCTACTAGCATATTTTCGCATCCTTTTTTCTATGCCAGCTAGCATAGTTTTGCGCGTGAATCATGAGCATGACTGATTTAATTAATCATCCAATGCCAAGCCAAACAGCGTCTGTGAAAGCAAAGATAAACCAATGGTGATTATCCAAACAAATATCAAGACTGATGCAATAGAATGAGGTTAGCTCGGAACATCTGATGGCAAATTGAATTAATGCCACGCCACGCCTCATCAACGCCTCGAGAGAAAAGTCTGCGAAAGGCACTCCATTTCCGCGGCCCACCAGTTTTCTTGTCCAGGTTTGTTGTCGTGTTTGCAAACCAAGCTTTTCTCATGTTTTTGAGAAACTCTGTCATGGAATTCTTACGACCAAAAGTACTGTCAAAGAAATTGTCAACTCGCCAACCAATTGAAATCAAACGTTTGATAACGTTTCATCATTAAATTACCATTGCAGTAATTCGATCAAGCCTTGAACTATGATTTCATCCCACCCGTATTTTTATTATTTCACTTGATTTTCTTATAATATACAGTATCTTCGTACGGACATTTATCTTATTTTATTCTGCCCTAAATATCGTGGTTGAAAGTATAATAAAGAGGAGTGCAATTTGGGAGATTAATTGTAATTAAACATGCATATATAAAAATATGGGATAATATAATACTTGCTGTGGTTCCTGTAAAACTACCCAAGAAGGAGCCAAGCTTGATTAAAAGATTAGGTTAGACTAAAAACAAATGATTGAGAATTGAGAGATGTAACATTATAAAAAGTTAAAACCCTACCATTGCCGCAATTTAACCGGGTCTTGAAATATGATACCATCCCACTTCCATTTTTATTATTTCACTTCGAGTTTGTCAGATTAAAAAAAAACTAAATAACATATCTTCACAAGAATATGCTATTTTATTTTATTACGCATTGACTATATGGTCATACGAAAAAATTATACATAACACTTAAAATCGTGCAAGTAAAACTACTCGAGTCCCGTTTGCAAAGTCACACAAGCTATATATATTTTTTAAAATATTTTTATCATAATGGTTTCAGGACTGAAACTTTTGAGAATGACTCCTCCAAAACCCCGTTCCGTGGAACGGCGCCCACATTTGTGCGTCCATCTCACGGAATTCTGCGTTCAACTTCTCCTTCTCCGCCTCCGATGCCAGGTGTTCCTCCAGAGTGGTCTCCACGTAGTAAATGGGCCGACACTTGGGCCCACTCCTCTCATTCAACAACACGCCGTCTTTCTTCTTCAGCGGCCGCGGTTGCGGTCTCCCCTTGCACGTGTGGATTGCCTTCCGGCACAGTCCGACCGGCACCTTGTACACCACCAGCACCACAACGTTCATCACTGTGCACGGCAAGCAGCAAAATATCGCCGTGCACTCCGCCGCCGTACCACCGGCAACCTCGCCGGCTTCACGCGCCCCTCGCGGCGCATTGTTCAGGACCTGCCCCCGGGTTTTCTCCGGCGGGGAACGCGGGGAATTCATCGATTTAGATAATAATCCTAATCCAAATGAAAGTTGAAAAAAGAAAAAACGAAGGAGGGAAAGCTAGGGAAGGGATTGAAGGAGAGATCGTGGTTTTGCGACTGATGGTAAATTTCGGGTATTTGGGCTATTCATTTCTCCGTTTAGCTTGAAACGGAGAATTGTCCCGAGAAGTACCATTAGCGAGAAAATGCGAACGAAGCAGCAATTAAAATCTAGAATTTAGAGGGGTATGGATTTAGTTAAATTGAGATTAAGGAGGTGAGGAAAAGGTGTTGACGAAGAGAATTAACTGGTTTTATGAGAGGTGGAGGTTATGACTTGCGGCACGGCCCGCGCTACTTCTTTCGCAGGGAGGAAAATACGGCCAGGCCATGACACAGTCCTTCCAATGTATATATATATATTTTTTGAATTGGAGACCATGGGAAAACCGTGTTAATTGATAAAATGAGTCATGTCAACGAATAAGATATTATAATAATCAGGTGGTGAGATATTGAAGATACGAATATAAAGATTGTCAGTATAAGTTTGATGAGATAATCAATCAACACATTTGTTTGCCTCTTTGAAAGTGTGGTTGAATGTGATTGTCCAATTTCGCATAGTGAGGTCTTTGATTCTATTAATGATTGCAGCTAGTGGGTAAATAGTAGAGAACTCATTATAGATTAGCGAGAGAGTTTTTATAGAGTCAGTGTAGACATTAACTTTCTTGAACTTCTTTACCCAGCAAATGTTTGAACCTTCCAAGATGCTCATGAATTCGGCAGCTGTACTTGGATAATAACCAAAGTATCTAAAGTAACCTTTGATCCAATTTTCTTGGTTGCTTCGGATAAGACCCACACATTTGGTTGCACTATGAATGTTGACGGAGCCATCAGTATCCAATCTAACCCAACATTCTTCAAGAGCAGTCCATCTAGTTGTTGCTTCATTGCCCTTCTAAGCTAGAAAGTTAATCTTATTTTAAAGATACTAGTTTCTGAGAATATCTTGGTTGCTAGTAAAGGCAATGTTCTTGTTACAGGTGTTTTCTTTTGTAAGATTTTGTACCTTTTTTTTTAAATGTTCCAACACACGTGGGCATAAAGTTTCTGCCAAGAGGTTTTCCTTAAATAAGCATTACTTGCATCATTTCTTGCATTCTAACTTATCCAATCCTATAAAGAAAGAGAAAAAAAAAAAGTGTCAAGTTTAGAATGATTAACTATTTTTATGCAAACCTCTTTAATTTTTTTACAATCTCTTAAAATATGAATAACAGAATCTAAAAAGTTACAACTAAAAAAACATATTTTAACACAAGAATTGCCTTCATCAAAACACGAGAAGTCCTTCCAATATTTGGCAAGGGTTGCAAAAGTTCTTGGACTGTTTTTTTCTGTGTATTCTCGAACACGAGTTGACCAGCTAAAGGGATTTTATGTTACCGTCATCGAATTCGACTTTTATTATACTCCCTTCTCTCAAGTTATAAAATATTTAGAGGTAAAGTCTCACTCATCAGTAAATTTAATAATTTCATTTTTAAAAATAAAAATAATTTAGAATGATTAACTATTTAATAATTTCATTTTTTTAAAAAAATAATCTTCATTTAATATGTTAAAAAAAGACAGATGTTAAATAGAAAGAAATAAAAGATAATGTTAAAATAAACTTACGTAATAAAATCTTAATCTTCTTAAAAAAATTTTTTATATTTTGAAATGGCAAATTTATATCAAAAATATCTTCTAATTTAAAATAGAAAATAATATATTGTATCTGTTTGAAATTAAAGATAATTTAAGACAAAATTATACATGCTAATAAAACTGAAAAATAACACTTTAGTAATTTATTTTTTAAAATATATACATATATTTCCAAAATATTATTTATTTAATATAATTTTAAAAATATAATAATTTCAATTTTCTCTTCAGTAATATTAAAAAAGCATTATTAATAAAATTTTATTTTTATTAGATTGTTTTATATTTTAAAACCACAAAAAACCTTCAACGTTATCTTATAATTTCTGGCCAAAAAAAAATGTTATCTTATAATTTGAAATTGAGAAAGTGGCTATTTACTTCAATCATTCAACTAACAGTTATGTAAGTCCCGTTATATCGTTGGCCCAAAAAAATTCCCATTTTATGTTATCATTATTTTATATCCATTGAATGAATGACTTAATCCCGGGCGATGGTCGTTAAGAGCAAAGTTCAGCTAGCTAGGTCATACCAGGCGATTATGGTTAAGAATAAAATTCAGCTGGCGTCTTTTTGACTTACATGGATGGAAGGATAAGGATGGGAGCCTTGCAACGGGGCATCATCATTGCGGTCGTCACCATTAATACTACTGATAATGCATATGATTTGTGTTGAATACAGTTAGATTAACGGTACTATTCCACAATGGAAGAGCAAACCCGAGATCATATATGCTGTTTAAAAATAATAGTAATTACTAATTTTAACAAGGAAAATTAATCATAAAAGTTTTAACTTGATTATAACTTTATTTATAAATTTTAACTCAGTAAAATTTAATTTTTAAAGTTTTAATCATTTAAAATATTAATCTTTTATATTTTAGAAAATAAAATTAGAAAGATTATATATATATATTTATCAAATTGAAAGTTTTAGTAACTTAAAATATTAGTCTCTAAATGTCAACATAATTTTAATTTTTGGAATTTTAATTTTAAGACATAGAGACCAATATTTTAAATGGTTTAAATTATAGATATTAAATTGTAGTAAATCAAAATTTACGATTGAATTATCACCAAAACAAAAATATAAAGATTGAGTTATACTAAGTCAAAATTCAGAAATTGAATTACAACTAAATTAAGATTACAAGAACTAAATAATTAACTTTTTCTTTCAATAATATTAAAAGTTTAAATTTATTATAATTTATTGCTGTTGAAAATTTGATAGATAAAATTTTTTTGTTTCACTTCGTTGTCTCAATCAAACTCAGCCAGCAGGTGCAAAATTGAAAGCGCAGTGGGGGATTGAAATGAAGCTCTGTAGTCTGTACTCTATACATCATTGCATCTCATGTTGCACAAAACATAAATGGGATCAATTACATCGAACCAACAGAAGTTTGGTTACTTTACAGTAGCATAAATTAATGAAAAGGTCAATGTCAGAACATGTTACAAATTAAAAGTGGAGGATAAGGTAAGTCATACTGTTAGACGGTTTAGGCAGCATGTGAACTGCCTTCTTCCAACAACAATTTTGTCTCCCAGACAGACACCTTTACATTTTGCATTTCCTCCTCCATCTTTTCAAGCAAGCATGAACTAGACGTTGAGGCTAGCAGATTGGCTTTCTTGCTAGAAGCTATGGCTCTAGCTGTCTGTAACTCTACGATTCTTCCAAATCCCATCTGTAACTCTTCCTCCAGGATCTTTATCTCAGCCTGCTTCAAATCTGATTCAAACACATATTCCTGGAACTCAACGATCATGGACTCTATTTCAGTCATCCCATTGTTTCTAAATTCCAAGAGCATCTCCTTTTCACTCACCACTCGCTGAAGTGCTAGCTCCTTTTCCTCCGTTTTACTCAAAATTTCTTGTATTTCCAGTTGAACAACCTGTATCTGCTCCTCTAAAGTTGAATTCTTTTTCTTTAGATTTCCCAGTTCCTTTCTCGTGATGCCAAGTTTTTCCTGAGACAGCCTTATCGCTGCTTGCAGCTTGGTTATTTCTTCCTCTGATTTTAGTAACTCAGTAGCTTTACCACTCATATGCCAGTTTTTCTGTGAAGAGTCTATGTTCTGGATGTTGTCAATCGCAAAGAGAACCTTTTCACCCTCCCGCTTGCGGTTCTCTTCCTCTAATAGGGATTTGGTGAATGCAATGTTTGCCACTAGTTCAACTTCAGATTCTTGGTTCTTCTTTTTGGCATTCTCTACCCCAAGCTTGCATGCTTGAAGAGAAGCCAATTCCTCTCTCTTTTTGTCAATACATCTCGTCAATTCACATACAACGGCCCTTGCTTGTACTTCCCGTTTCTCAAAATAAGAAAACGATGAGGCAAAGTTTGACAATGAATAGTTAACTGCAGAAAACTTCTTATCAACTAGAGTTCTTCTTTCTTGCGCTTCTGACAGCAGGAGTTTTAAGGATTCTATCTGTTGATGCTTAATCTGGATGTCGCTTTCTATAACTTCAATTTCCCTGGAGAGCTTATCAACCTCAATTGTTGCCTTCTCAGCACAATCTAGCGCTGCTAGAGTTCTGACAACATTTGAAATCTGTTCTTCAACTCTCTCAAGTTTCTTTCTAGCTTGACTTAATTCACATGACAGCCCCTTTGCAGTCAATACTTCAATATCCATGTCAGAGTAGACAGCAATATCAACCTCATGATTCACTCGAGATTCCTTGATTGAAGCACTCCCCTCCAGTAAAACTCTTTCTTTGACGTGGCCAGGAAGTTCACCTGATTCAAGATGGTCATTTAGCTGGGGGCTGGTCTGACTTGGCACGTTGTGTTCATCACACACTATACACAAACTAGAACCAGACAAAGTATCCAAGCCTTTACTTTCAATTATACCCTGCATTTCCTGGAAACCAGTTTCTATACTTGAGTCTTTTTCCCCCTCATCAACTTCAACAAGCTTTTCTGGGCATTCCATTTCCCTTTTGGATTCAGCTCTTTCATGCACACAAGATGAAAGGACTATTTTAAGATCATCCCTCTCTTGCATGGCTCTTTCATACAAGCTCATCAGTTTTTCATTTTCCTCATTCATTTCCAGTAGTTGATGCTGGAGATTCTCAATTACTCTTTTCATCTCAGTGTCCACTTCTCTTGTTCCTTCAGGAGAACAGCCGCCATTAACCCGGGCAGCAACTGCTCGAGCATCCTCAGCTTTATTTACAATCCTGTTATTACTTTCAGCAGCAACCTGTTGATGCAGGAGATCATTCCTCTCTTGCACGGCTCTTTCATACAAGCTCATCAGCTTCTCATTTTCTTCATTCATTTCCAGTACTTGATGCTGGAGATTCTCAATTACTCTTTTCATCTCAGACTCGGTGTCCTCTTCTCTAGCTCCTTCAGGAGAACAGCCGCCATTAACCTGGACAGCAACTTCTCGAGCATCCTCAGCTTTATTGACAATTCTGTTATTACTTTCAGCAGCAACCAGTTCGTACAATTCAATTAGCTTGCTATTATCCTCGATCAAAACTTTAAGCTTCATCTTGAGCTCATCATTCTCCTTTGATAAAATAATTGCTGTCTCATGAGCCTCTGCCTCTCTTTGACTTGCAGCAGCAATAGCATCTACCATTGCTTTCAATTCCAGTTGATCATTGATGCT